TAGCAATGGTCCATAATGAAAGACCTACACCACTCCTTCAACTATAAATTATGTTCTCAGAGCATGAAGAATAACACAAAAGTGAATCTCTCTTTTATTCACAGCTGAAGCTGCCTCGATACATCATAATCCGCTCCGGTTCAAAAGGCATTATGTTATCGAGCAGACTACTCCAGATTGGTTGTAGGAGGGGACAAGACCTGTCAATTGCTTCTTCCACAGTATAGTATGTTTTTATGTTACCCTATCATAGGTAGAGGCTGGACAAGAATCAAGGAGACTGGATTCAACAACTGAGAAAAGAAAAAACACAATGGCCCAGAAGGGTATGATGGCAATTACATGGCTCCCTGTTTGATACCACTAACTTTTTTATTCAACTCGAAGAAAATCAGTTTCTTTACGCACAGTGGACCACTGCCATAGCGAGAAAATAAAACCAAGAACAACTTCCTTTTATCACTTCATGGGAGAGGGTGCTAAGAACAAGAAAAAACCATGAGAAGCCAAAACGTTTATAACAAATTTACAAGGAGCTTCTGCCCAAGGAATGCCACTATTAAGGTTAGCAAAGCCAGGATTCAGCTAAGCAAAGCACCAGAGCAGTATTATGCAGTATAAACATACACAAGGTGATCTTGGCGCTCTTTGTTTGGAGTTGAATATCTCCCTTTTTCTGAATTTTTAACAGCAAATGATAAGAAACTGTAGAGACAGACCTCTTAAGCCCACATTCTATAACAAATGTCAATACATGAACAATGAAACAGAGAACATGATTTCTCATTAAGCATAGAATGGAAGTTGGCATTACCTTTAGGCCATTGAGCAAGAACGGTTTCCTTCAAAGTTGCAACACTTGCAGCAGTAGGAAAGCTTTTGGGACCAATATCTGATCCATCTGTCAATCGAAATTTGATCTCTAACTGATCTTGTACCCCAGCCATGTCTTCGCGGATATAACAACTACTGAGTTCCCAGAATGCAGGGAGCTACAGGGTTTGTTGTTATCCCAATATCAACCACAGCTCAAACAAGCTGGAGCTTTTATAAAAAAAAAAAAAAAAAAAGAATTTGAACCTTGTAGTGTTTTCTAGGAAACAAAGGACTGATGAAGACCCTTGAGTCTTGACTCGTTTAGCTTCCTGCCAAAGACAATACGGAAAAAGGGAGTCTTCTTCAGTATCTTGCAAGTGGAAATTTTAGGAACCAGAAACGTAAGGTTGAATAAAAGACATCTTTAAGAATCGGATTTCTAAGGAAGGAATATGATACGTGAAAACCAGCAACCAAAACTCTGAAATTACCCTAAAACTAACCATCACGAATTCACGATTGGCTCCAATTCTAATCAGCTGACCTAGTGCTTTGATTTATGCCTGTTATGAATTCTCATCGCTGCTACTAGCTGAATTAAAGGCAACAAAAGAAGAAAACCCTGGAATTTAAAAACAATAATAGAAATAAACAGAGACTGGAAATACAGGGAAGGAAACTGAAAAGATCGCAAGCTACAAAAGGAGCAAGAAAACCCCAAAAGATCACAAACCACATCTCCGCCTCCTCTAAAGATCATCATAATCAACAAAGAAAAAGGAACCCCTCAGTTCCAGAAAGCTGTAATTACAGCTGCATCCGATTGACGAAACTACTGACAATAAATTGAATCGATCAGACAAGCAAGAGTAGGGGTAGGGAGTGAAATTGGGGAATGGGTTTTCTTACTTGGTGGCAGAACTGACCTGGGCCAATTGCTAATCGCTGAAAAGATTCGAAACTGAACAATTATAATGATGGCCACCGAGAAAGGGAAGTTGAACCAGGGTATTGGGGCATCAGTATACAGAAAGGTGAAAGAAACACGAAGGAAGAGGGAGAGATTATAAATAAACGAAAAGGGAAAGACAGAAATAAACGAATCGGCAGCGATGGGGAAGAGGGAAGAACTAAGAAGAAGAGAGGTGAGGGAGGGAGGAAGGAAGGAGGGGGCGTTTACGGAGTTTTCTAAGTTGTTTCCATCTCTAAAAATCTAATAAAAATGGTGAGAAATTAAAAACAAAACTGTGCATATTATTTTGTGCGCAATCAATTCTCAATTCAATCCCCCATGTCCATATCTGGCGTCTCTCTCTCTCTCTCTCTCCCTTGCCTTCTTCTCCATTTCTCCTCCTACCTCCCTCCTATGACCATGGAAATGGACTTCCATTTTCTCCTTTTATTTCCTTCTTCCTTAATTTTCCTGCTTCGTTTATTTATTTTATTTTTTTCTTCTCCTATTTTAATACTTGATCTTGGACCTGAGAAAACTTCTGCCGTCCTTCCTTGGCTCAAAACGAGAAGAACGGGTTATTGACTTTTCGGCACACTCCTTTAATTTGTTGTTTTTGACAAATTAGTCCTCCAACTTTTTTAGGCCATTCTGAGAAGAAGAAAAAAAAATGCCATTCATCAATCACACTATTCACTTCAGCAATGTGTCAGGTAATTACCAAGTTTGGAAGGTACGATTGAATATATGAATCGAGATCACTCGTTATTAACAAACTAAATGTCGTGACATTTTAAATGTAAGAAAAAGTAATTATCAAAGTAGTGAGACAGAAGTAAATAAAATAGATGGACAATTGTGTGTAATAATCTTATTGTTAATGATGGTATGTAAGTAATATGCAACCTCTATATATATCCTACCCAATCATTTTTTGTGACTTGTGAGTTTCTGTTTTGTATTATCATCCTACTTTAGGAGGAAAAGGCATGCATATGCTTTACTTGAATTAATTTATACGATGATCTTTGGATAAAAGTGATGACACTAAAAGATTCAACAATACTTGAGTGGTTCGTCCATGTGTTGCCAACTAATTTATGAAAGGATTCCAACAAATCAATCGTTGAGGTTCACTTTTTTTATGAATTCACTGCTAATAGTTGTAACGATTAACACAACAACCACTTTTATTTATTTTAGTGAAAATTATTTGTCCAAACCGTGCATACAAGTATTTCACTTCAACTCGTCAATTATAGAAGCAACCAAATAAACCCAAATCAAGTGACACGATATAATTCATATCCAATCAAAATCAAACTCAGTATTCAGCTGAGTTTTAACTCACATTATCTCGGGATCACTCACATGCTTGCTCCCGCTATCTAATAGTCAGTCAGAGGGTTCATAGAAATTCTTTTCGATATCGACTGGTTCACATGCTGATAGAACAATTTAAGTGAAGAAACTCCATGAAAATGGACCAGTCATTCTTGACCGAGAGGGAAAATAACCGGTCCAACATAACAATTAAAGGAAGAAATAAGTAGTGACACGTAAAAATGTGGAATTTGGTAATGGCTGGTAGTTTGGAAGAAGAAGAAGATTGCGCGTTAAGAGAGAAAAGGAGTTACTAAGGAATAACTGAAGCTCAGTGACCGAATAAAATATGAGCTTTGGCGAAAACGAAAAGAGAAAAATATGGTACAGGAATGGTTGACGCTAATAAAAAGAGAGGAGAAGGGTTGATTCTTCTTTGGAGTCTTCAAACTCTGGTCAAAGTACACATTTATGTAACTATCCCTCTCTAGTCAATCGCCATGGAAGGACATCGACAATCTTTCCAGCTCCTCTGTTTTCTATTTTTTTTTCTCTCATTGATCTTTTCCTTCCAGCCAAGCAAAAGAGGGAAAGACAGACAGACTTTTTGCCTTTGTTTTGTCCAAAGGGATACAAATGATGATGTAAACTATAGGGACAATGATTCCAATTTATTCCCTTGTTTGAGTGTTTATCTCCGAGAGTTCCTGTGTCCTGTTTTATATGTTTGTCTCACCCACATCTTAATTTAGAAGAAATGAAAGAAAGAGAAGAAAAAAACACTGATTAAGGGTTTTTCCCCGACCGTCTCTATGTGGATTACAAAGATATTAATGTTAGTTCTCTACATCGTGGGAAAGTTTCGTACTAAATTGTCCGAATGGTGTTTTACAATCAGGAATAACAATGAATGAAACGAATTTCGTCAATAGGAAATGTGTAACTTGTATCGTGATGAACTCAGGGTTATTCACTTAGTATCAGGCATTCATAGACTTGAGCAGTTATGATGATGAATAATCATGCAGAAAGAAGAAAATGGAAAGGATCAGAATTCGATTCAAGCATACCATCATGAAACTGTTCAACACAAAGGAGGAAAGAAAGAATATTTCTGCACATTTTCAAATGTTTGTGTCTCTCCTGAGGTTCATCACCATCATTATCCTCGTACATATAAGGGAGTACCTAAAATTGCAGTAGCCAGTCCCCCCAACAAAATTTTAAGACGGAACCTGTTTGTAACATAGCAGCAATCTTCATTTTCTTACCTCTATTTCTACAGTTTCACTCAACTGGTATCAAACTTCAAAAGCAAGGGAGAAGAAGAGTCTCTAACAAAAAAATCTTTGACAACAGTAACAATAAGAAGAATATGAAGGAAAGAGCTTCTTCTGGCTTCATAACAGAATTACAGAATATAACAGCAGCCCTCCCTCTGCAGTGCAGAATATAAACTGTCCTATTCATTGCTCGACTTCTCTTTCCAGCCACCAAAATCGAAGTGTATAGTATCGATGGTTGGTGCAAATTTCAGCCACCAGTGAAGAAACTTCCTAATCGTGTATCTCGTACCTTCTTTATTCTAGACATGGGAACTAATTGAGCCAAGAATTCAGGCTAGCTTCCTTCAATATAGTCTCTTTTTTGTTCATAATTCCAACCGGAAGAATTAATATGCGATTGCTATGTTACAAATGAAAGAATGAATTCTCAGTGCCCGTGCTAGTGATGCAGAGCTAATGGGTAGTGAATTCTGACCTGAAAACCATTACGCCCAAGTTTCTGCTAGCCTTCTGTCTTTCGGTAGACATCCAGAGAATGCTCAAGTGTATAAAGTCTGACTTCATGTGACAATTCATATCACTCAGCTAATAATTCTATCTCTCTCTATCGTTGTATGAGTTGGCTACGTCTCCATGATGTGGCAGTTGCGTACAAAATCATTGGAGTAATTGACATACTTTGTCCAAAATGGCCGCAAATGCTCAAACCCGATTGGCAACCATGGTTTTGACTGGCCATTGTAGTGGATTACTGCAGCTCTCTTCACACTTTCGATGTCTGTCTTATTCTGATACCCCAACCCTAGCATATGCCACTCAGGATCAATTGCATGCACATGACCTTTAAATGCAATCAAAGCTGGGGGCAAGGTTCCAAGCTTCCACATGGTCAGGTTTGATTTCAGATTCTGCAAGTACAAACAACCAAAAGCAACCCCGTGAGATGAAAGCTGAACTAATAATGATACATGACACAACTATATGCAAGCGATTTATTGTCAGTACTAAAAGCCAATGGAGATTTGAAGTTCCACATTGAGTTGAATCTCAAATTACTAGGTTGAGCCTAAATGGGTACGCAGCTACAAAACTAGAATACTTTGTCATGATGTCAGAAAACACCAAAAAGAATACTTTTACAGAATTGACTAAAGGACATGCAAAAGATTTGTTTCTAACATCCTCGAACAAAATAAGGGAACAGAATGTAGAAGATGCTTCTATATGTATTCTAATGATAAAATTTTATTGCTTTGTATATATATATATATATGTATGACTGCATGCACACCCAAATAAATTGAACAAGAGTACTAAAGAGCAAGGCAATTTAATAATGTGTGCTTAACACGAAAAGAAAATCTACCTCTCTCAACCAGGAATGGTATGTTTCTCTGATACTTGTCTTCCTCCATGCATGAAGGTCGAATACATTCATTCCATAAGCCCAAGCACATTCTTCTGAGTCCAAGTTGTTTGCTATGAGGGGATGAGAAAAATTGAAGTAGTTCTTGAAACGCTTGGACATAACCCACTCATCCTCGCCTCTACATGTTTCCACAGCACCATTAACCTTTCCTTTAAGGTCAATATCCCAAAGTGGAGATAGATCACGCTGAATGACAACATCATCGTCCAAAAATACCACCTTATCGAGGTTCGGGAACAGCTGTTTTTGAAACACCGGCAGTTAGGCGGGAAAAAATGAATATCAAGTAATGGATGGAAGAGCAAGGAGCACATTCCACAGTACTTATTGAAACCACAAATGATTACTTCTTAAGACCCAAAAACTTGATATATTAGTAGTTAGACATGTTGAACTCCAAAAATGTACCAGATGTGACTTACAATTAATAAACTTATTGTGTGTCAGAATCAGAAACATGCAATTTATTAACCTACTGAACGGGTTCAGATTCCATTTTGGTTAAAAAAGGGCTATATATTCTTCAACAACATTTTGCAAATGCATTTCAAATTATGAAGAAGCTAAACCTATGACATGCACTAAGGTTTCTCTGTTTAGTGTAAAACAAGACAGGTAAAGACAAGGCATGTGAATTATGTACTAAATTACAACTTCCCACAAATCAATTTATTTTACCTCTCCTATTCTTTGTTGTGTAGCAGCATAGACATAGGAAATTCAGACCCATAACTAACATAAAGCACTACTTCAGATCATAACTGATTACCTCAGGTAAATATATCCGCAGGTGGTTGAGTAAGGAAATGTACTTTGGACTTCTAGCTTGTAGTTTTGAAGCAAACATACGTGGAGTTGTATCACTGAGATTTGTTCCAGCAACATGATTTCCATGATAATAGTTCCTGATACTATTATGGCTCTCTACAGCTTCGAGCACGGGAACATTCTCCCTGGTCAACCATTCAAACTGATGGACGCCTTTGACTTCAATGATAGCAGGGGAGACAGGGTTTAGCGCAAACCAAGAATGCATCCCGGCATAAGTCTTCTTGTCAGTGATGACATGAAAGACAATCTTTTCAGGTCTTAGAGATGATGCTACAGTAGAAGTCACAACAACAGATGCTGCCAAAATGTTGTCTGTTGATAGTATGAAGTGATGGTAAGAGTTGTCAGACAACAAAGGGAGCAACTCTGGAGCAGGCAGTTGCCTGCGCGCATGTGCATTAGAGGAATATTCATCCGTCAAACGCAAAGAGAGACAGTGGATGCCTTTTGGAATGGAACTTGCAGTGAAGTGTTTGTTCATCAGCTCTGCGAATTTCGATTCTCTAATTTCCCTTTCAAATTTCTCCATCTGGAACAGGAAGAAAGTAGTTAGGTTAAAATGTATTTTACCGGTGTTTCACTGATTTCCTCCACAGAGACTAGGCTTGGCGCTCTGAAGGCCATGCATGAATCCATTGTCTCTTTCAACCAAATGCATATAATCAATGTCTCTAGACACATTGCCTATCTATGCAATTCATTGCATACCAACCAAGATGCACAACAAAAATCATAAAGACTTGAATTCTTAAGTATTCGTTAAGATTTTATCCACATAATATCTATCGATCAGCCAATCTACTGTACAGATAATCAGGGTATAAATATTTATTCGAAGATACCAAGGTATTGATTCTTATTTTATATGTTTGTATCACATGCCTCGTGAATATCTCCTTTTCCACCAATTCCCTCAAGAAATTAGCAGCAAGTGTATCATAGCTAGAACTATAAATGGAAACATAAACATACCATAGCTCTCAATGTCAGAGCAAATGTCTTTGCATCGTATTGGTTGCTCTTCATTTCAGCAACGAGTTGACTAAATGACTCCGGGAGCTTTAGACCATTGGGGATTTCCTCTGCATTAACTTGATTCAGTATCTTGTGGAAGTCCTTGACCAACCTCTGCTGCAACATTGTCAACAGAGAGGACTTCAGTTAATCAATCATTAAATAACCACTGAGCATATGAACTGTGAGGGGAGGGCAAGGAATGTTTACCCCAGAATCATCGACCCTGCCAAGAAGCCTTGGTCCAAGTCGCCTACCTAAGCAATCTGAAGGATAACAGAAAGGACCAATAGAAGATAAATAAAAACAGAAATACCCAATAGTTAAGCTGACAACACAAGCAAGGAATCATTCCGTTTGGCGTAACCTAGCAGTTATCCGCATTCCAACAGAAACCTTAGGAGAAGTGTGCCACATGCAAAGGAATTTCATCATGTAAATAATCTAAAGGAATAGGTGTTCCAATGGGACAATAGCTAAAGAAGTAAGGATCTACAAACTGTGGCTAAGAAGGATTCATAATCCTAATAATGCTATATGTATGAATTAAATCAATGACTCCGCAACTGAAGAAAAGGATAGAGTAAATTCTGATTCTGCCCAAGGTAGATCTTAATAAGTTACAGCCCATCTTATAATTTAATCACATTAGCAACGGGACACTTATGGGAACACAAGTTTGTGTAGACAACCAACACACATTAATTATCCCAGACAATGATGCAACATCTGAAAGTAATACACATAACCAATCAGCAAGGTAGTGGTATGTAATTCTGAATTACAAATTACAATATGAATAGCAACCCATTTGAAGAGGCACAATCACAGGAAAATGACGCCAGTCATATGAAAAACCGTAAATGCAGATCGATACAGCTCTGAATGCAAATGCAGAAAAGATGTCAAACCAATGCATCCATCCTCGAACTGCAGTAAACAGAAAACGATAACAATCACTATCAATGGATGCAAGACTCGTTCCCTGAATATGAATCCAAGTGGGAGACAAAATCACATGGAACGTCGGTTACATTAAGTCAGGGGATATACAATTTACAACCCAGATCAAATCAACCGAAACCCAAATCAAGATCCATTAATGGATCCAGATTACAGGTCACATCATAAAGATTGAGAAAAGGGGAAGAGAACGAGAAGAGATGTACCGAATGAGGAGCAATTGTTGACACCTTCAAGGGTAACGAGGGCAGTGAGAATGAAGACAAAGGGCAACAAGAAAGCAAGAATGAGAATGGTGTGGAAAAGGGTTCGATAAGAGATGTGGCGAGCTGCGACCTTGATCTTCATCAAGTCAATAAACCCCCCATTGCTGTTACTGCTCGATATCGTGATGCTTCTCATGCTAGGCGAGATGTGAAGCTGCATATTCTTCCCGTATGCAGCCGCACTACCCTAGCAGCACCACAAACAGCAATTGTAAGAACAAATCGGGCCAATACCAGCTGCTTGTTTGCCTTCGTCACTTGTCCTTGCGATCCCAGCAATGCCCTTCCCACCATCGGCGGGGATCCCTTATTCCCAATCTGCCCAAGATCCGCCCAGCTCCACAAAATTCCTCAAGAAAATAATTCTTCCTCTCTCCGCCTTATCTGGGTCTTCCCCTCTAAGACCGCATTGGAGATTCAACGCCTTCCTCGTCCTGCACCAAGAGCCACCCCATTACAGAAGAAACTGTAAATGGGTTGATGGCTTTTTTTTTTTCGTTTTACCTCCCTCTCGCAAAAGAAATCCCAGATGCCAATCTAATAACAAAAGCAGAATCAAATCGAATTGGGTTTTCCTGGATCAATGATGGTTTTTCCTCCCTTTTTTCCTTTCTTTCCTTCTTCTTTCTCCTGCCGCTGCCGCTGCAACAATGGGATTGATCCGAGAGAGAGAGGGGGAAAGGGAGGAGAGAGAAAATTGAGAAGGGGAGAAGGGAGGAGGCGCTGTTTTGTTTCGTTTCCGTTTACGTGAAATTAATTTCTTTTTCACTTCTTTTTCTTTTTCCTTTATTTTTTGGGTTGCGCCGGTGGTGCGCTGTGATTAGTAGATCGTCCGATCCTGAATTTCTTCTTTTTCATTAAATTAAAAGAAGGAAAAATGTTCCTATCATAAAAAAATTGAAGGAAAAAGATTTGATTATTGATTAATAGAAATTAAATAATAAGTTAAGAACAATTATGATGGGTCAATTACACAAAGTATCGCTGAACTTTGGGATTGTTCACAAATCCGTTGCTTACTTAACTTTGGTGCTTAACAAACTTGTAATCCCAGTTCTTAATAATTAATATAATAGTCACGACATATATCTCATGTCAACTCATCCGAATTTTGGCAACGAGGGAAAGTTAGATCCTATTATTAGGTTTTGAGTAAGAGTGTACGAGGATGAAATAATTGGAGTAGGAATTACAGTATTGAGAGGTGGAACAAGACTGGTATCATAATATTGTTTTGTATTAATTGTCGGTCCAATTAGAAACACAATGGTGTGACATGAGTCAAGGAAGGTAGACTCTCTACAACGTCTAATCATATAGAAGATTATAAGGAAAATGAAACTACACTTCGACAATAATCATTAAGTTCATTGTTGTTAAAACATTACATAAGAGAAGTGAAGATGACTAGTACAATAAACAATTGAGATAGTCAAGATAGAACAGGTCTAGTCAGTAATACACATGCCTCAACCTCATAAATGACATGTTAATCTGAATAATTGAGCACCACTTTCGTGATATAGTAAAAGTTAGTGATAATTTATGTAGTTTACCTGGCTAATAATCGAAAAAGGCAAAAAAAAAAAAAAAAAAAAAAAAAAAAGGCGTCGTTCAAAATCCGTAGAGTCAAAACCGTGTAAGGTGGTGGAAGAGAAAGAGATGGAGAGAGGGAGTATGACATCACATGTGAAAATTAGGAGGGGGAGAAAAGCAAGGGGATCAGAGTTTGACCTATGTGAGATGGCCTAAATTTGGGGGTTGTCCCCTACGTTTCTGGCCCAAACTTTTGTCAGGTTTTGTATTAATAGTAAATTAGAATTACTTACTCACTTTGTTACTTTCATGTTTGTTTAATTTTCAGTCATTGTTTTTGTGAAATATAACAATTCTGCCTTTTTATCTTGTCTAACCAATTTAGACCAACCATCAATTTTTTTTTGGAAGATTTAGGATTGGTTTTGGTGATAGTTAAATTTAGGATTTTATGCATCTATCTATCTATACATAATATTATGGCAATTCAAAAGTAGTTGTTTGCCACCTAAGCACTTGGAGAGCTCACAAATTGCCAATGTGGATATTATTTTTACAAAAGAAATAATAGTTATTGATATATTTATGGAGCTATCTCTCTCTTCATTTAATATATCATTTCCCTTTTATCCTTTTTTTGTATTATATCAATGTACACAATAATAAATAATGTATGAAAAGTACAGGGATGGCAAAAATATCAGTAATCGTGGATATCCACCCGAATCCGACCTAATCGGGTAGGGTAAAACCCGAACCCGAAGCATTTTTCGTGGGTACGGGTAAAACCCGAACCCGAATGTTGCGGGTAATGGGTGGGCATGGTTATCTCACTATCCAACCCGAACCCGCCCGATTATACACATGCATATGTATTTTGTCTAGAAATAATCATTATTTTTCTCTAGAATATTTTATATTTAGCATATAAATATAATATTTTCATTAAATTATGTTGTTTTAATAAATTTTCGTCATTCTAGTGAATTATTGTCGTACTTTTCCTCTTATGTCATGTGAGTATACGTGTGAATGTTAACATATTGGTTGGAATTATAAGGAGAAATTATTACCCATGGATAACCGTGGATACCCGAAACCCGAACGGGTATGGGCATGGTTTTGATTGTCTACCCGTTTCTCGTATGGGTACGGATATGGGTAAAACCCGAACTACATTGGATAGGGTAACGGATATGCACTATCCGCCCCCGACCCGACCCATTGCCATCCCTAGAAAAGTGACATATATTACATTTGTTATCTCTAATTTATTTAATATTTATTTTTCTTTTCCAATACTTCTTTTATGTTTTTGTTTTTACTTTTGCATTGTATAGATGTACGCAACAATAGACTAATGTCTTTGAGTCACACATATAACTTTTTTCTCAACCAAAAAAAATTTTTAACTCATTTTTACAATAATTTACAAATATGTTACATTTTGATGAACAATTTATATAAACACACATACATAATAACATTTTATCGCGACAAAATAACGATGGAAATTAAAAAGAGAAAACAAGAAACGTTTGAATAGAAACTTGACCAAGCAATAAAATCTATTTCTTAAACAAATACCTTATTCATTCTAATTAAGTGAAAAAATATGAATCATAGGTGCAATAATTTACCGTGTATCCTAAGTTCAAATTACTAATATTTTGCATTTTTGCTCTAGATCGTGTTAATTTAGCAAACTCTACTGAAGTTTTACGTCATATGTTAAGAAATTTAATTTTCAGACGTGGAGAATAAATTTTCAAGGATTATAAATAAAAAATTTTAAAATGACTTTGGTATGATTGTTGATGAACTTGACTTCATATCTTAAGATAAGACACGAGATACGTTAAAAAATTATACATGTGAAAGTTAGATGAATCTTTGCTAAACTGTATGTTAAACATCATGTGTTCATCAACCACTGACCTATGAAGCAAGATTAGAGAAGTTAATCATCGTAAGAGATATGATCTTTCTTAGCAAACACATCCATTTTTTTTTTTTTTGCAATAAAACACATGCATAAATAATTATATATTTATGAAATAAAATAATTCGATAGAAATTCAATGGAGCAAGAATAGATCACATTATTGGATAAATGAAGATGATAAGTAAGAATAACTTTTCTCTCACTTATAATATATCCTTCCATCCCTTATTCTCTTTTACAATTGTTCATATTTCCCTTATTTTCTTAACATTTTATAAATCCCGATAAAAAACTAGCATTAATTACACTTAAAAATAATTAAACTCTTTTTAATATATATGCTTATATATTGACCATAAATGTGGCAATACAAAAAATGCATATATTAGTATAAGTAATGAAATTTTTATTTCTAAACAAATACCAAACATAAATAAATTTTAGAAAACGAAGGTTCTACAAGTTGTAAAATTATACACTAACGCACCATATTAAGATCAAAATCCGTATGTGGGTATCTGGGATTGAGATTCTAAAACAATATATAAACAACGACAATGAGTCTCAGTTAGTCCAAATTAAATTTCAGAAATTAGCAATTGATACATATTGTATAAGAGACTAAATACAAATAAGATCTTACAGTAAACTTCATGAACATTCAAAGTGTCAACTTTAAATTGGGATGAAGAAATTTATCCAATAATGAAGTACATATACAAAGAAACTCTCCGAAAGATGTCCTCATCTAAACAACATGGATTCATATAAGATAGAAAAAATTGTACATGGACGTGGTATACCTTTGTGACATGGTTTATGATTAGAGAATTCAAACAGTATAAGTGAATGTGCTAAGTATTGAGAATTTTCAATATATAGACACACCACATACGTACTCACTTATCAATACAAAATATAATAAATTTAGAAGGTCTAAAATAGTTTAAGCATATAGATAAACTGAATTAATGTCAACGATAAAATGAAACTCTCCGGCCAACGGGCCGGGTAAAAAGCTAGTTGTTAATAATGTATGCATAATAATATACGTTTTCGTTTCCACATACAATCTTTAATGTATAAAATCGGACTAAATTGCGCTTTAAAACTTAAACGCTTGTAGTTCACCAAAACGCTTTGCATTTTTGCGCTTCTATTTCAATAAATGGGTACTCTATTCCTGAAGTTAATTATTAATAATATATCCTAAAGGTAAATCACCAACAATATATGACATTTGAGATTAAAAGATACATACCAGGTACTTGGATAGAGATGGCAAAAATATCCGTAATAGTGGATATCCACCCGAATCCGACCTAATCGGGTAGGGTAAAACCCGAACTCGAAGCATTTTTCGTGGGTACGGGTAAAACCCGAACCCGAATATTGCGGGTAATGGGTGGGCATGGTTATCTCACTATCCAACCCGAACCCGCCCGATTATACACATGCATATGTATTTTGTCTAGAAATAATCATTATTTTCCCTAGAATATTTTATATTTAGCATATAAATATAATATTTTTATGAAATTATGTTGTTTTGATTAATTTTCGTCATTCTAGTGAATTATTGTCGTACTTTTCCTCTTACGTAATGTGAGTATACTTGTGAATGTTAACATATTGGTTGGAATTATAAGGAGAAATTATTACCCATGGATAACCGTGGATACCCGAAACCCGAACGGGTATGGGCATGGTTTTGATTTTCTACCCGTTTCTCGTGTGGGTACGGGTATGGGTAAAACCCGAACTACATTGGGTAGGGTAACGGATATACACTATCCACCCCCGACCCGACCCATTGCCATCCCTATACTTGGATGTATTTTTTTTTTAATGGCGTAATATAATTCACCAGATAGGCCCTTCCCAAATTTATTAGCATAGAGGGGAAGGTGGATTATTGTTAAGATCTATGTTTAAGAACTTATTGTTAAGATGTTATGATTTGCTCTATTTTAGACATGAATTGCAGGTATTTATTAACTTATCTAAATTCTATGCATGCATATTTTACATTGTATATGTCGTATTTAACACATTTGCAACTATTTTACAGTATGTGTAAAAAACTTACGCTTTTACGCTTTAATTCTATGATTTACGATTTTACCTATTTTTCGCTTCTAGTTAAAATCGCGCTATTAACGGCATCAGAAATGATATCATCTTTCATTCAACCACTTGTATCAAATATGGTTCTCAAAATGCATCCTATAACCGACACACTCACATGCCACTTATTTGAAAAACTACGATGATATGAAAGTCAGGGAAATATGAACATAACATCGATAACATAGGAGGAGGAGAAATAACCATCAACTGATCTTGCCGATTAAGTTTCGTTGACTAAGACGTAGGTAGGCTCAACATTACATCTCGGCCCAAGATGATTACTTAGCCCACCTCACCAACTATCGGTTGTTAGTAGACCCTTTGAGCAGCAGTAATAACGAATTTACCGCCTTCCGAATCACCTGCAACTGCAAAACAAAGGAGCTTTTAAAGAGTGCGCGTAGGTATATATAACACAAAAATCATAAGGAAGAAGAAGATAGGGAGGGGCTTTTTTTTTTAACCGAGTTTCCTAGAGGTTCTCTTATTAATTGAACTAACTTCAAGTTAGAATTCTTTTAGGTGGAATTGATCGATTCATTCCGTGCAGATTATTGTAAATGGTTGGCATGTGTCAATAACTACCCCATCTTAGGCTAAGTTTAACCTAAAATGACTTTGTCATATAGTTGCAATCAAGGTCGTATTCACTCGGGTCCCAGTACCCTAGCCTACTTCTCACGTTGTTGTTGTCTAGCCGATCGGTTTAAGAGTTTGTGTTGGAGGATTCAAGCGAAATAACTAGTGGAGAGAGTAAATAAGGATAAAAGCATGTACTTCGGGGAAATATCCCTCACCTAGCCAAGATATACTATGCAATGTCTGAATGTGGTGAGAGAGCTCTTTTCCATGGGCTTTCGTGGCTATCCACACGCCTACGAGTACGCCTCCCCTAAATCCATGTCAGTCACCTCGATCTAGGCTATCGTATCTGTGGCATTAAGAACATAACTCATTTCAATAGGTACTACCCACCATCCACACTGAGGTTTTATCTCGGGTTCTATCTAGGAAGGCATTCCTATGGCAGGGGTACGGTCGCCTCGTTCACCATAAGATCCTATTCATACATCTAACCTTAATTTGCTTGATGGCGCATACCCGTCTAACCCTAAAACTCCATACTCAACGTAGAATCTCAAGTATGCTAGTAAATAAGATTAGGGCGACTTACCCAAAAACAATCAAAACTAGAGAAATAATGAAATCAACTAGATAAACACATTCATTCATTAAAACTCTAAAATATCCATTCATTACATAGTAACCCTAAACTAGGGTTTGAGGTTTAGAACTCCTAGTTTTTTAGAGGACTACTCCATAAAGGAGGGAAGAAGATACATAGAAGAAATTGAGGGAAAACTTGATGTAGGCTCCTCTCTTCTAGCTCCTCCTCCTCCTCCTCTTCTCCTTCCTTCAGCTTCTCTCTCTTCTCTAACTCTAACCAGGAATTTCTCTCTCAAAATCAGCTCTCTCAAATGGGGAATGGAGTCTTCTATTTATAGTCTTCAGAGGACAGACAAGTTCACAGCCAGACAGGGTAAAGATCGCAATCGCGATCTGCCGACGTCGTCGTTTTGACCTTCAAACGCCAGGGGTTCGCGGGCTGACTTCGCGTTCGAGATCCATGAGTCACGGCCGCGATCCGTGAGTCGCGGTCGCGATCCGTGAGTCGCGGCCGCAATCCGTGTGGCCGTGAATCGTGATCAGATTGCGCCCAAAGCCTCCAGATTCACGGCCGCGATCTTGGGCTCTCAGACCGTGATCTTCGCTTTGAGTTTGCAGTCTGTGTTCGCGGTCGTGATCTCCTTCTCGAGGGCGTGATCATTAGTCTTCTGGCCCTTTTGCTAAACTTGTGTCATTTTTCGTACCTAATGCACATGCATTGTCTAAAAAACCCTAAAATTACATCATAATCAAATAGGAACGAAATAGGAATGCAATCAATGCTAGTCAAACAATTATGCACATGAATTGGCACGAATCAAACCTAAATATGAAAGGCAAATAAAACCAATTTAGATGTTATCAAGAAGTCAAACTCCTTTACAAAACCAAAAGTAGAAATCAATCTATATCTTCCTCCCAATCACAAAGTGTTTGTAGCTTTGTGTCAATTTCGTTCACAATTCTTTTTTCGGCTTACAACTTGCACTTTTTAAGTATCATGTAAAAAACTTAAAATTATAAGACTTAAGCAAGGGGTAGTATTAACAAGGAAAATCCTGAAAAAAATACTCAAATATGTAATACTTAAAATGACAATTTCTCGAGGAAATGTATATAAAGTCAACAAAAATGTAATCAAAATTATAACACATACTCCCAAGCTATTTTTTCAACTCCCATAAGCATTTCTTTTCTTTTCTGATTGTTTTGCATTGGGTGTAAAATTAGTAGAGTATCTCTCGTGGACATGATGATTAATGATCACTCATGAAAGTTGTTATAGTCGGTCTTCTAACACCACCTTTCGCTATTGTGATGAGCAGGAGAAATACAAGTATTGGCAGTTGCTGGCAGTGATGACATTTCTAACATGATCGAGGCGATCTGATCTGCCCCGACCTGTTTGGAGTATTACCCGACTCGTAGTAGCATATGATAGGGTAATGCTATTACTTTCAACCCGTCCCCTCCCCATCCAATCTCGACCCGTTCTATCATAATTTGCATCAATACCTACATGTATTTCTTCTCCTTTTGATATTTTTATAATCATATTTTCAACATAAATAAATTTTTAGACTCCATCTTTCAATTATTTAGATTCAATTATTTCTTCTACTATATTTATAATTAATTTATGAAAAATTATCTCTATATTTTATCGTAAAATAGTTAAATATCGACTTTTTTAAATAAATTATAAGAATGTGTCGACAGACCCCGTACCTACGCGTGTATTACCCTACTTGACCAACGCTTATTGGGACGTGCATGTGTATTGAGGTACCCGTTCCGCCTGACACCATTGTTATCACTACTTATTGGTGGTGGTCATGGGTAGGGGTGAACAAACACACCCGTAAACCGACCCACCCGTCCAATACGACCCAACCCATCCATATTTTATCGTTAAAATGAAGATATTGGGTTGGGTCAGGATTTTCTTTTGTACAACCCGCCTCTTTTGGGTTGGGTTTGGATTTTGGATTACACAACCCGTAGAACCCGACCCAACGCGTGTCCAACTATTGGCATGAGTTCGTATCCAAAAAATATTTTTGTTGTATATAGTCATACTTATGAGAAAATTAAGATATTTTGCTATGTTTTCTCTCGTGGTCTCCTTAATCTAATGCATTCATCGACTTAAAGTTTAGACATAAGTTTGATATAGCTACGATTCACGCAATCATTTTTCTTGTGTACGATTTTAATATAATAATATATTATGGATGCGTTCGTTTATAACTTTTTAGCCTATTTCAACAAATGTCGTGAAAAAACTAGACATATGTTGAAGTAAATCACATTTTATTAAAATATAAACAATATTTGTGAATTTGATACCTTTCATCTCGGTTTATTCGTTTGAAATTTTAATTAGTTATAAAATATTTTTATGGTGTAGAATAATTACATATTCTGTGTTGGGTTGGGCAATATCGTCAACCCAACCCAACCTAATTAGAAACAAACCGTAGGGTTTAATTTTTTGGGTGGGTTTGGGTTTAATATTTTCCAAACCGTAGTGCATGGGTCGGGTGATTAAAATGACTAAACCCGAACCACCCGACCCATGTACACCCCTAGTCATGGGTCGATGGTCCTGGTTGTTCGGAAGTGGTAAATCAGTATTGATTACTGATTTGGGTATCGCCTATGGCAGTGAGAGAGAACGAGATATTGTTGATAGACGGAAAGGAAAAATAAATGTTAGATTTTGCTAATTTGGAAAAAAAAGTTTACCTAATGGTTTGATCTGATTACATTAATTTCGTTCGATTTGTTACAAATCCAGTCAATTATATCCTTACTTTAAAATTGTTGAAATTCTATAAAAATATAGATCTTAAGAATTTTAATCTGAAATAGTGTGAGATTTTTTTAAAATAGTGAAATATCATTACCAACGAAATACGTAAGAGGTATAGAAAAAAAGGAGAAAAGAGAGTACAAAAGTGCTTAGCAATGCAGCACAACAAAGCGGTTAAACCCCCTCCCTGAAGTTGTGGATATAATTTTGAATAGTACAATTAATCTGATTTATCTGTACAATTTTTTTTAATTAAAACTTAAAACGAAAATAATATATAACCCATTAAAATTTCTAAAAAGAGATATTAAAAGATTTTTGTAAATCTTCTTTACAAATATTAAAGCACTTTTAGATTTACACTACTGCCACGTACCCCTTCCTGCAATTAGAAGATGTCCACGTCAGCCTCTTCATACGTTCCGCCCTCTATCATGATTTCGGTGAACTACTCTGCCCCTAAAAAAACCTCCACACTTTTTCTCCTTCATCCTTCCCTGTGACTGTTATCCGCCCGCCGCCTGCTCCAATCCAACCTCTCTGCCGCCTCCAGATTCCGCCACCAATTAGCCTCTTGCACCACTCCGAAGTCGAGCCCGTGGAAATCACCCATTCACACCGTCAAATTCTCCCTCATAGCTTGCGCCTGTCTAGATTCGTCATGATCGATCAGTCTGTGGCCACGATTTATAACCCTGAAATCTCAATATGCCTTTTGTCCCATTTGATTGAATCTCCATCCTCGGTCACGTTCCGGCAGGGCGTCCACCCATCCGAATTCTGCCACCGAGTCGCCTCCACCACTCAGAAGCCGCGACCGTTGAAATCCACCAATCACATCGTGAAGTTCTGCCTCATAGAAGGCCTGCGTGCGGCCGCCGCCGGGGATCGGGCATGATCGATCAGTCATCGGCTACCCAACAATCGCACCCAATAAATCTTCCTGTTGTGTGGAATCTGATTCGTGGATAATTGAAACTGCAATACAGAGTTGTTATTTTGCCCAAGGACAATTGGAACTGGGGCTTCACTTCCGGCAAAAGGTACGTTGGGCCCATTTGGCCATTTCCAGTTTCTCTAAGTTGTTCTTTGCTCCACTTCCATCATGAAGCCAGTAGAGTGCAAGAGCTCCCAGCCAATTTTGCTCTTAATTCTTCTGCGGAGTATGATGAAACCACGTAAAAAAAAGCATTAACCTTTTTGTAGTGGTCAATTACTTTTGTTTCTTCTTTGTAACCAACAATATGATAGGATTGTCATGTGTAAATTGTAACTAAGTTAGAATGGAAGTCTGAATTTGCTGCTGCAAGATTCGGATGTGAAAGCTCTATTTTGCTTTCCATGGTAGTTAATTTGGCATTTGTGGGTATAATTTTGGATTTTAAATATATTGTTCCTTTCACTTCTTGATTGAAACTTATTAAGAGAAGTTCATTATGAAGGCATTGAGTTGATTTTTATGTGAATCTTGCAATTGAGTTGATTACTGAATCTTGCTCATCTCGGTTTTTCTTTCTCCTTTTTTCCTATTTTGTGGCGAAGGAACCGTTGCTTCCTGCCTGTTGATTTCCGAAGAGTTAGAATTGACCTTTCATATGCTGAAAACATATGTTCTTCTTCCCTACCTAAATCTTTATATCAGGCCATTTGTCAATCCATTCTCATGTACTTTCCATCATCTCTTTTGGTTATGATTTGAAACCAATAAAATACTAAAACCTGATGTAACAAATTCGAAGTTAATAGTAAAGATTGATTGCAACAAGTCCTTAACGGTGGGAAGAGTAGAGAATTGATAGGAGTAAGTAGTTCAAGCAGTGTCCAATGTTCTCTTGAACTCCAAGCAAGTCAAGCACGATGTAATAATTATCTCCGTCCCTATTTCTCTATATATGTATGGATTTGTTTGGAGTTCAAGAAAATGTACTATCGATAGAAATTAATAGTTCACGATTGGATTTTAATGATGATGACTATGTAATTGTGTTACCACGTACTGACTATTGAATCATGTGAAAGTTTTGAAAACTTCGTGGAAAAATTTCATCAATGTACTTTGATGTAGAGTCATCCAATATAATGCTGCCATTTGAGCCAAGTGAACCCAGTTTACCAAGAAATGATCATCTTGGTTGTTGATTTATTGAATCTCTTTTACTAGGTTTCCACATTTTGGTTTATTTGTTATACAACTATTTGAGAACTTCAATGATATAGTCATAGTCGAACATACCATATTTCAACATGAGCAACATCACCACTGCTAACGAGGATCAGTAAAGGAATCAAGACTTGCATTCAACAACCGGACAATAATGTTATGTTAAAGCCAAGACTACAACAATACAAATTATAGCAACGACAACACTAGGTTCCAAGATGTGAAAAGTACTGTAGTCATATGCATTCTGGGGTTGCAGCAACATGCTTAACTGTAACGCCCAGATAATAATGCAACGTTAAGATCATGAACTTGGAAAGTTACATCCGAGCAGATAGATTGTTGAGATTACAATTTCTTACAAAAGATTACAAGATGGAAAATAAACATTATCTTGAACACTTCTTTTATGCATTTTGAACAACTTTCCCAATGTTGCCTTTTTACCATTCCATATTTGAGTAAAATATTTGGCACAACAAAGCAAACAACACTAACAATCAGATAGTATGTGTCCATATGACATACAATCAAAAATTAGGTCACACTTGAACACCATAGAAGAAAAGAGCTTAATAAGTAATAACAACACAACCTTGACAAAAACCAACCCGGCCAAGGGCCGGGCACAGAGCTAGTAATGATAGTACAGATTATGCACAGTTAACTGAACTAAACAAAAATCAGAGATTAAAACGTGCTTTCGGTTAAGCACTTAAGCGGCCTTCTCTCCTTTTTTCGGTGGAGATATTTTTTCTTTCTTTCCCTTTTAAAGAAAGAAACAAACAAAACCCAGTCTGAATAATGCGCTCACTTCATTCCGCATCCGCCCATGCTGCTCTGTCCACTCACACTTGATCACTAAACGTCTGAAACACCATTTGCTTTGTTTCACTCGTGATCTGGACTGGAGGGAGTGCGGAATCTAGGAGACGGGAGCGAAAATGGCGACGCCGACGACCACGAATGCAGCCGCTCATCCTTGTTCGGTCTCTAGTTTCATCGATTTTGGCTCAGGTAGCGTCAGTTTGAGGCCGAGATCCAATTTCTTCTTCATTCGCACCTTCAACTCTCGCCAGTTCCGCAACAGGTCCTTCTCCGTTACCAACGTCTCGGTAAACCACCCGACGGCCGTCCAAGAAGGTGATCAACCTCTGGTTGTTGAAGCAACTCTTACTCATTTCTGGCATTTTCAGTTATGTAATTGCACGATTTCATGGCCGTTCGTCTGGACTGTGTTATTGGATTGATTTTCTGTACTTTAATGAGTCATAGCAAAGCGTTGCGATCATAATGTGGTTGAAGTTGGGTTTCTCTTCGCGTTGGTCTGCTTTCTGATGTGGTAGATTATAGCTAACAGCGCTAATTCTACCATGGCGGCGTTGAACAAGGACGAAACCTCACGTTTATAATCATCTGATGAATGATATATGTACGATGGTCCCCGTACATAATCAGCTTGGAAACAGATGTGATTGAGTTGTTGGCATAATAGATTGGAGGTGGAATGCTTGGATACTGATTTCAGTTGTTACAACTTTTGTGTGTGTGTTTTTAGAATCCTCCACAAATTGGCCAGCACTTGCACCGGATGCTTCATCCATCGCATCGAGTATCAAATACCATGCGGAATTCTCGCCGTCGTTTTCCCCTGGGCAACTTGATCTTCCAAAAGCGTTCTTGGCAACAGCACAAAGTGTTCGTGATGCTCTCATTAGCAACTGGAATGCGACGTATGAGCGCTATGAGAGGCTGGATGTAAAGCAGGCTTACTATCTGTCCATGGAATTTTTGCAGGTATGCCCTGATGTGGAGCCTACAAGAAATCATCAATCCATTCCTTGAGATTCTCTTAACTCATCCGTGTTTCATGATGTTCTTTGTTTTGTAGGGTAGAGCGCTGCTGAATGCAATTGGTAATTTAGAGCTTACTGGTGCTTATGCAGAGGCTCTGACCAAGCTTGGACACAACCTAGAAAATGTAGCTTCCCAGGTGTGGTTCTTATGATTCTCCTGAACAAGTTGGAGCACTGTTGATGACTTTTCAATGTTGAAAGGCATGGTCTTTGTTAACTTTGTAGGCAATTAGTGGTATCTGGATCTTGAAAACATAATGACAAAAGATGGCTGTGGATGCAATGCCAGAAAACCTAAACTGCTTCCTCAAGTAGATTGATAGGCTTTCAGAAGGTCCGCGCAGTTGTGCGATTCAATGGTTGTTAGTTTAACCGAAATGCCATATGGATCTCTTTGTTTCTGCTTCTACTTTCCTTCTCCTTTTAGCACAAGGTTCGTCAAGCACCGTTAAAATTTCAAGGTTATCCACCTTTTCTCCTTACAGTCCAAGCAGCAGGAGTCATAAGTATATCTGTCTGTAAGTTATAAGGTGTCCATCCAATCAAGGATAAGAGCAATTAGTATATCTGTCTGTTTCGTTATGCTTGGCTTGAAAAATAATGATCAAGTCACTTTGAAATCTCTAGCCCACTTTGTAATCAGTTATCCTTTAACCATGCTGTTTGACCACCCTTTAGGAGCCTGACGCTGCACTTGGTAACGGAGGTCTTGGGCGACTTGCATCCTGCTTTTTGGACTCTATGGCAACTTTAGACTACCCTGCATGGGGCTATGGATTGAGGTACAAGTATGGCTTGTTTAAACAGCTTATCACAAAAGATGGTCAAGAAGAAGTAGCTGAAAATTGGCTTGAGGTGTGTTTACTTCTTCATGGCCTTTGCCTCAACTTGATTACATGAACTTTGGGTCATCACTTCTGATGATTTGTTGACATCCTCTGTTCAGATGGGCAGTCCTTGGGAAATAGTCAGGAACGATGTCTCATATCCTGTGAAGTTCTATGGCAAGGTTGTTTGTGATGCAGATGGGAAAAGACACTGGATTGGCGGAGAAGATGTAACAGCTGTTGCCCATGATGTCCCGATTCCAGGATACAAGACAAAAACCACAAATAACTTACGACTTTGGTCAACTAAAGCTCCAGCAAATGATTTTGATTTGTCTGCTTTCAATGCTGGAGAACACATGCAAGCATATGAGGCCCTAGCAAATGCTGAGAAGGTGTTTAGTTGTTAATATTCACTTTGGTATCATAACTCCGATGTTCACTAAAAACATACATGTCAACCCAGTTATGTCATTTATGCTTGCATTGTTGCAACATGCAATCAAGATTTGTTTTTTACCCCCTTAGCAATTAGTTTTTAAACTAGATTATTTTATCCGTTAGCTTCATTCTCATACTCCTTATCCAAGCTTTCTAAAAGATATAGAGCCTTCTATCTCTTATCTGTGTACCTAAGTACCTCTGATTATTTATGTGAACTTATATTATAGTGTCTATTAGCTTTAGTCTTCAATTCCTTATCCAAGCTTTCTGAAACATATAGTTTCATCTCTATTTTATTCTTCACCTTTGATTATTCATATAATTACTTATGTTATAGTTTTGATGGTCACTTGAGTGCAAATGAATTGTGACTTTCTAAGAATGCAATGTTGTTTCATTATGCTTTCTGTCAATTGCAGATTTGCTATGTCCTCTACCCTGGAGATGATACAGAGGAAGGCAAGGTCCTTCGACTGAAACAACAATATACATTGTGTTCAGCTTCACTCCAAGATATCATTGCACGATTTGAAAGAAGATCAGGCTCTAATATTAACTGGGGACACTTTGCTGAGAAAGTTGCAGTTCAGATGAATGATACTCATCCCACACTCTGCATCCCTGAGCTGATGAGAATTTTGATGGACTTGAAAGGTTTAAGCTGGAATGATGCATGGACCATCACCAAGAGGTATTCTAATAGGGATAGCTCCCTACCTTTCGTACTTTGTGTCTTGGGAATTTACATGCTATGAGAGTATGGGACTGCTGGCAGGTTTTTCAGTTCTTTAGGAATTGGTTTGGGGATGTCGAAGAACATGCTTAAACTGAGTTTAGACGTTGTTTCTAGAGTACTTTGGAACTTCTCAAACTCTAAACAGGTTATTAATCGTAAATATGAGCTTTTTCATAATTGGTTGACCGCTTTTTTATTATGTTTTCCCACAAATTATGATTTCTCTTCTTTTCTTCATATGCATGCTGTTTTGCGCAGTTTTTTTCATTCTCCTGTTGTAGCTCATCATCTAGTAGCTTGCAAGGTTATATTCACCACTTAATGCACCAGGACTGTGGCGTACACAAACCATACTGTTCTACCTGAAGCTTTGGAGAAGTGGAGTTTAGATCTTATGCAGAAACTGCTACCTCGACATGTTGAGATCATAGAAACCATTGATGAGCAGGTAACACTAGTTACATCCATGATTAAATTTTATTTCTTATGGATCATGTATCTTATGTCGAATCTTGGTCCGTTCTTATCCTACAGCTTATAAATGAGATTGTGTCCGAGTATGGTAAAGAAGATACAGAAATGCTGGAGAAGAAACTGAAAGAAATGAGAGTACTGGAAAATGTTGATCTGCCTGAACAATTTGCTCATTTAATAGTTAAACCTCGAGAGATCTCTGTTGCTATTTCCCTTCAAGAACTGGAAGAGTCTTCTGAAGAATCTGAATCAGCTGAAGAGAAAGATGAATCGGAGGATGAAAGCACTGAGGAGGAAAAGGTCATGGCAGAACCACCACCGAAACCTCCGAAAATGGTCCGCATGGCTAACCTCTGCGTTGTTGGTGGTCATGCAGTAAATGGAGTTGCTGAAATACACAGTGAAATAGTGAAGGATGAAGTCTTCAATTCTTTTTACAAGGTGTTGTCGACCTTTCTGGATTATCATATAATTCCTTGAGATGATTTATATCTGTTGACATCTTCTTTGGTTTGCTTTCAAATAATTGCGAATGCTTTTATCTTTAACATTGAATGCTATTGCAGTTGTGGCCCAAGAAATTCCAAAATAAGACCAATGGGGTTACACCAAGAAGATGGATCCGTTTCTGTAATCCTGCTTTGAGCAAAATAATTACTGAGTGGACTGGCTCTGAAGATTGGGTGTTGAACACTGAAAGACTGGGAGAATTAAGAAAGGTAATATATCTTCCAAAATTTTGAATTTCACAGATCCTGCACACTCAGTATAGTTGATTTAGCAATATCACAAGTTCTCTTAATGCTTGAATACCTCATGTTGCCCCATTAGAT